GCATTTCACCTTCTTGATCCATTACCATTTCTTCGGGATGTTGGGAGGAAATAGGGTGTGTCTTGTGGGAGATTTTGTTAATATTTGCTTGAACATTACCATCTACATTCTTAATTGCATCACAAGATAACAAAAATTCTTCCACACGTTCCCTAGAGTCCTTTTGTGGAAGAACTAAATCCACACTCTTCACAGACTCCCCGAAGTCTTCAAGTCCTTCTTCAAAAACCGAGACTTGTACTTCGGCCATAGCAGCATCTCTTTCTGCTCCCAATACAAAAAGCTCGGCATCCTGAGCAGCCCTTTGTTTCTGTAGTTCGGCTTCTTTACGTGCGAACTCTAACCTTACCTTACTTGCCTCAGCGTTGGCACGGGCACGCAGTGCCTCTGAGACAACAGAAGAATGTTTACTAGATTGAGACCGTCGCGAAGCCACGCTTTTGGTCTCGTAATTGGCACTTTGGGTAGAGGGTGAAGGCGTCTCGCTAGAGTCCTTTTCTTGAAGCGGATGTTCCGATGTCGTTGACATGATGGGTCCTTGCGTAGTCTGGTTGAAGTCGTTTAAGTCTTTTTACTATGCTGTCCTCGGGGTGCTCTAACACACACTCCTATCCAGTAGCTAACCTCACAACGGAATAAAGTAATCTTGAAGACGATTGAGTTGAAAGGTTGTACTCTAGTCTTTATTCAAGCCTTACTTCGGCATAACGTCTTGAATGTGGTAAAACTGTAAAATACAATGAATGATAACATCGCATCAATTATACATGTAAAAGATCATAATAGAACAAACTATGTTCTCAACAGTCCAACTAGGCAGATTCAGACTTATGAATCAATCATAATCCAAACAGGTAAGTACATAAAATACTAACGTACATTTACTTTAATAGGTGAATCCCTTTATGTTCAAAGTTTCTACCAGATGCACCTTAAAATCACAACAAACAATAGATTCTCAGTTTCAAGATTTATGGAATAATGCTCAAGTTATAATGAGAATTACTGCAACAATATTTAGTAATGACTGTACCTATACAAAACCTGACCATTTTAGAGGTCTGCAAACGGCTTGCCATACTTAGGAACAAAGCATTGTATATCATACAACATTCTTACAAAGGCAGTTTCCCAGTCTAAAATTATGTAGACTTATCCTGTCCTTACATGTCTATTCAACAAAATGAACTTACAGACTTGTGCACTTCCAAGCTATCTATCTGACGTAATCGGATTGTAACCCATGAATCTCTGTCGCTTGTCTCCTATAACTGCAAACATAATTTGATAGATTGCAAATAGATATAGGCATCACCACTAGAAACAGATAATGGAAAAGCTGTGCTCATAACTTCAGGTTTCAGCAAAATTAAATAATCCTTTCAATCATTAGAACCGGAACTGTTAGAAAAGCCCTCTAATTGACTGACACAACAATATAAGAATATTCATTCAATACTATAACACAAACTTTAACTAGCAAAGGTAATTTTGACTATAATAGCTAAACTTCCAAATATCTGACGATGTTTCCCAGAATACAAAACATGCTGTAATTTATGTAGACATAGTGTACCGTACAGTGTATGCTGTAGCTGTCAGAACTACTCAATCACGCTTATGACCATTTGCACACAAAACGTATCGAATTCTGTCCAGACTATTGATTATGATAAAAATAAGAGCATTGAACTTACACGAAATCATCAGGCAGTAGACCTCGATCCTAAACCTTCAAGAACCAGTTTAAACATGATATAATAACCATACTTTAAGAAACTTTACGAAACTTGTGGCTTGAGAAAATAGGATAGTTCGCTCAAAAGGAGCGCCATTGTTTCTGACTATGGAAAGCCAAGTGAACAGATTATATTTAATCGCGTGCAGCACAGGGATGTCCATTGTCTTCTTTACTTTTCGTTATTGTAGCAGAATTTCTAGCGTGTAAGATCCGACAAAACGAAGATATAAAAGGAATTGATTTATGTATTGTCCGAAGTAAAAGTGTCTCAATTCGCAGATGACACAACCATTTTTGTAAATAGTTCAAAATCATTAAATAAGGTTATGGAAGAGGTCAGAAATTTTGGAACAGTGGCAGGTCCTCAAGTAAATTGGGATAAGACTAAAATAATGAAGATCAATACAGAATATTTAGGAATATATGTTGGGAAAAATAAAAGGGAAAATGAACGTTTAATTTGGGATGACAAAATCGAAAAAATTCAAAATATATTGAAAGCTTAGAAACAGAGGATATTAACGTTTTATGGTGAAAAGGTTGTTATTAAAGCCTTAATCGTTTCACAAATTGTCTATACGGCAACTATACCTGCTCCTATTTTTGTTATTAAATCATTGAATAAAAGTAGTAAATTATGCTTTTCTTTGGAGTTCAAAAAGAGAAAGAGTGAAAAGAAATGTCTGTATAAATAAACAGTTAGATGGTGGTCTTGAAAATTATGATAGACATTGAATCGAAAATAAATTCTTTGTATTCGTCTTGGATAAGCAAATTATTGGATGAACAAACCTGTAGATGGAAACCATTATTCAGATATTGGATTGACATGATTAGATTTTTTTCCAGACATTTTACGATATAATTTGAATAAGAAAGATATGAAAATGATATGTATATAAAAAGGACTGCCAGCTCGGCCCCCCTGGATCCGCGCCTGGTTCAGCTAATGCTGAATGGGATGGGTTGCTCAATCTGAGGGCTCTTTTGTGTTCTTTTAGACGCTCATTGAGAGTTCTGCCAGTTTCCCCAACATTATGAATCATTACAATCTGTGCACGTAATCTTGTACACAATATCTGTCTTTTCCTCTCTTGTGATTATGTTTTTGGGATGGACCAACCTACTTTGTGTTTTGACTTCTTTGGTTATTGTGTCACGTACATATTTAATTGAATTTTCATTGAATTTTTATTAAAAACTTTGTATTACCTGAATGTACACTTCTACTTCTACTTCTATGACGATACTCAGCAGGATCCATAAGTTAGGATGTAGTGCTGAGGAATAAACTTAGGTGCTCATTTTGCAGTGTATTATGTATGTATGTATCTATCTATTACAATAGCTATATAGGAATTGCTTATCATTATTGTTGTTTGTAATTAATTATTTTCATGTTGCAGGCATAGATGTTCATTTATATTCCGCCCTATCTCTATTCCCTTCTTTTCTAAGCACATAGGGATTTTCTTTGTGTTAGTGATATGCGCTATACAAATAACGTTCATTATTATTTAAAACTAATTCTGTAATCACCTTACAATGGTACACACATTTGAATATAGCCTATAATGGAAGATACCAAATACATTGCATTTCTCCTCATTATTCACTAAAACGATTAAATGCACAGATATTGTAGTTTATTCTAACTTATTATCATAATCATTATCATTATCGTTTAAAATATAATGTGATCCCCAAGCAAGCATTATCATGCATTACAATTTGCCGTGAAATGATGAAACTTGGCCATTGGAATTCGGATTTTAAAACTTTATTTAACAAGTTCTTTTTGTTAAACACATAACACCTGAAATTCAGGAGAGTTGGACCACCACCTGAAACATTATTGAGGACGGGTGCAACATGTATGGTAATAATAGGTACACTTGAAGCCACTCTCTTTGTGTAGTGCATACCAGAGGACTTCTACCCTGGTAAGACATGGCCTCCATTTCCATTCGGGCATGGGTATGTTATGTCACATCAAGTAGTCGAAAAACTATATCTGATATCCAGAAGATACCCAGCGAGAATATCATTAGAAGATGTTTATTGTGGTATACTCTTGGACAAGTTAAGCATCAGAATTGTTCACCGACCTATATGGTTTAAAGATCGCCACCCGCAAAAACAGAGCAGGATTATTTAGAGATTGAGCTATCAGCGCAGCAAATGGAGGAAGCTTGGAAAATGTTTGAAGGAGACTTTGAAAAATAGAATTCTTGGCCCCGTCTTATACCATGGACGTACATGCTATACAGAGTAGCAATTGATCCGAATCAGTCCCAAGTTTGCAGTACGTCTCGCTGCCATTGATATCGTTAGAATATAGATTTTAAAATATAAAGTAAAATATAAAGAAAAATAAAGTACAAAATTGAGTAGAATATCAAATAGGAAAAAAATAGAACCTTAAGGTAAAATACAAGATGAAAATAAAGAATAGACTATAAAATAGACTAAAAAGCAGATTATATCAGAATATGTATAGTCTCTGATGGTTGATGTAACAACTTTTTTCTTCTTCAAATTAAAGTTCAGAAATATTTGTTTATTTATTTATTATTTATTCGGCACTTTCAAGGAATATAACAATGAAACAATGTAATCAATATAATGTAATCTGCCACTGCAATATTCTGAGTGCAAAAGATGGCTCCCCGGAAAGAGAAAGCAAATTTAAATGCCCGATTTAAATTGATAAATTAGATTAAAGATATAACTATCTACACATTTTGCGTTGTTAATGACTTATGAGGAAAACTTGTAATGTATTGTTTATCTTTCATCTTAGTTTCATTCAATGTGTTTATTACAATTTTATGAATTACATGTATCGTTTCCCAGATATCTTGAAAAACAAATGTAATATGTTGAATTATTCACCTACAGTGTTTTTGCATAAACATGTTGATCAGTGTATTATACTTGATGTTTACTGATGATTTAATGAGTAAATTTAGTTCTATGAAGTTTGAATCCTTGGGTTTTGTAATAGATCGGACACAAACAATGATGATACGGGAAACGTACATGTTTGGTTTATTTCATGACTCATAGGAGATATAGAAGAGTTGATGTTTCATTTTTTAAAATTTGGATTTGAAGTTATAATAGTGCAGCTACCGTGTTGTAATATAGGCCAGTAATTCAGTTACCAGATTATTGTGTATGGATGTATTACAAAAACATACATAGGAAGCTTGTAAACATCAGCCTGCTTATGTGGAAAGAATTAACTGATGCTATACTATTTACTATTTACGTTACGATGTGGACTGAACCCCTCTCCCTTAGCTCCAAGCACGAATTGAGAGTGATCGTTCGGGGGTAAAGCGTCGAGGTCGTTGACCAGGGTCACAATATCAACCATGACATCGTCATCCATTGACATAAAAAATTCACTGTTATTGCAAAATTGCAAGGCCCATTTAAATCCCATGACGAGCTTGACGGTAAGTTTGTAATAACTATCGTGGAAGCCCACCTTCAGGATATCTCTATGTCTTCGGGCCTCTTCCTGAATGTTTTCTCTCTCGTCTTGTGCTTCGGAATCTCCCACGATAAAAAGCAACCTCGTGGACACATTATTTTTTGTGGCCCCACCGATGTACGTCTGTCTGGTGGCATTCCTGCGTTCAGTATGACCTGGTGCTGATTTGACTAAGACAAGTAATGTGATATTATCTTTTCCAGCATTGCACTTATCGACAGGATTGATTAAAAATTTATATATATCCATTTCGGCTCCTGGTTCCCAGTGTACATTTTTCATCCATCCGCGCAATGGAGCCGGATTTTGTTCATGTCCGGGTTTCATATTTTGTGCCGTGACATTATATCCAACAGTGTTGACATTTCTGTTTTTCCCATTTGAAAAACCAGCTCTTGATGGTAATCTACCTTTGGTGACTTTTTCTACTCGATAAGACTTAGAGCATATGTAATGGTAGATGGTAGTAGTAGCAGCAATGCAGAACACATAAATAATAAGCTGTCTCTTTATATATCTCATCGTGTTGACTGGTTAATTCCACTGATAATCGAAGAGAAGGGTCCATTAGTATGCTGGCTAATTGACAATCGTATTTTCAGAGAGATCCCGTCCATGTATCATAAACCAGCCATGCGTTAACGTGTTATTTATTTATTTTTTATTCAGTTTTATTTAAAAACAAGGTAGTCTTTTCAGTGCCAGAGGCCTGATTTACAAAAGAGCCCTGTACATACAAAGATTTACAAAAAATAGAATACATTGTAGAAAACAAAGTCATTATATAAACAACATACCATAAGAGAACTAAAACTACTTAAAAACTAGATCAAAACGAACATAAGGCCTGAAATATTAAACATTTAAGATATTATTAATACAATACAAAATACAAATACAAATACACATGCCATAAAGAACAGACATAAAATCAAAAGTATAAAAGGTAAGAAATAAAACTACTACAACTACAAACAAACAAAACAAACAAAACTAATTATAATCAGTATAATATCGTTTTTTAAAGATCGTTTTTTAAATTCAGTCTTGGGTTTCGGGATAAATAAGGGATTTGAGGTAGAATGACGAGTAACACAGTAAACTGGACGTTTACAAGCAAAAGGTTCTAAATAATATGGGGCTAGATTATTGAGTATTTTGTAGACGAAAATGCAATAGTGGAAGTTGATTCTATTTTCAACACTTTGCCATTGAAGAGTGCTTAAAAGGATGTCTTTTGGGGTTAGATAGTTTGCATTAAGGACTAATCTTGCATATCTGTTCTGCGTCCTCTGTTGGTCTATCACTGTTGTTAAATTGGTTTCATTTGGTAGTAGGCCTACGTTGATCACAATGACATCAAATGGTGAAAAATTGAAATACTGTCGATATTCCAAATCAGCCACTCAAATTATAAAAAGTGTCCTCCCTCCTAAAGCCTTTTTACAGACGAAGATACGATCCACCTCCATTAAATTCGGTCGCTGCTGCCACGCTATTTAAACAAGAGAGAACAAGGAGAAAGAAAGATATTAATATTAAAAGAAAGGCGTTGGTGATAATATTCAGTTCTTGGCTGATTGCCATTACAACAAAAAAACAACAACGATGAGTTGAATTTATTGCTCGCCTCTCAGACAGTAGATGGCCTATGTTATAGGCTTACAAACATGCAAGCTTTCATCCACTCCTGTGGACTTTCTCAAGCTAAGTGATCAATCTGAGTCACACGTTTTCTTCGCTGCACTGCGTGTCCTGCGATCACTGGACCGAAGATCGGTGACAATATGTACCCAGAGTCCCTGTTTAGTGACAGATGTACATTATTTTTGATGCTCTTTCGGAAAATGAAGTAAAACTTGAGAAATTCTAAAAAAAAAATTAAAAAAAATTATGATGTCACAGCTTCGGTACTGTATAGGTACCCAGAACCCCTGTTTAGTGATGGCTTAATCCATAATGGACTCTTTCACCTTTCTTGACCAGAAGTTACTTTCAAAGTCTATTATGAGGGCATCCTCCCAACTTGGAGGGTATGGAGTGCAGACGATGGGCATGCATTTTGTAAAGATAGTGAAGTGTCATCTTTAAAACTGAATCATTGACAGTGGAGGGAAGGATCATAATGGCAAGAGAATGCGCAAGTCAGATGGGAGGGTTCCTGGCGGTTGAGCAATGGTTTATTTGGTACAGAGTCGAGGACATTATGCAGGACTCTACTGGCTCTGTCGATAAGGTCTTCCAGTAGCTTGACAGTAGTCGAGCAGGCAGCCACATCCTGAACTACGGTATCCTCCTCAAGATTGCAGAGAGGGCACTTTGTGTTGGTTGCTTTCTTAATCTTGGTGAGACGGGTTCGGGTTCGGTAGGTTGAAGTGAGGAGCTGTGCTCTTATGGTCAGTGCCTGTCTGATTATTGTTGATGGTGGGTCTTTGGGGTAGAGGTTCCTTGGGTTGATGGAGTTTCCATTCCATAATGCGAGGGACGACTTGGTGGCAGCTCCTTCCTGTATAGCTTCCTCGAATGCAACAGAGATTAAGTTCTTAACTCTGCGTATCCAGGAGACGTAGGGAATGGGTTTGTAATTAGGTCCTGAATGGTTAGGAGCTTGTACATAGCCAGGATACCTTTCAGGCCTTTTACTGAGGGAGTGCCGATGCTGAGGGCATGAAGAAAGGTCCGCCATTAGAATCTGGTTGAGTCGAGGTCCAGTAGTTGACCAAGCAGCAGTAGCTTTTCTTGGCCAATTAGTTGGCTGATTGGTATGAGGCTGTTAAGAGGGATACACTCTCATCAGCAGCTGTGACAAGAATGCCTAGGATACGCTTGAATAGATGGGTCTGTGTACGGTTTAATTTGGATAACATCGACTTATTGAGGTGTAAGATAGATGTTCCGTAGAGCATTTTGGAGATGCAGTAGATGTTCCAAAGGCGTACTGAGAGGAGAGGGACAAGACCTAGCGTATGGGCCCCTGCACCGCAGAGGGCGTAAAAGGCATTAAGACCCTTTGAGATGATGCAATCAGTCGAATCAGTCTGAGATGATGACTTTGTGATCCCAAGATGAACGTGAGAGTCTTTACGGGATATAGTGAGGTCACTCATTGTCCATTGTCCGACTTACGAGCATTCATCACCACAACTGCACTCTTGGCGGGATTGATTTTGTAGCACCACTTTCTTGTGTAAGCTTGGGTTGCTGTGATCATCTCTTGCAGCTGTGATGGTGTGTTGCTGATCAAGGCGACATCGTCTGCAAACACAATGACACCGGAGTAGCGGCCATTCATCATGCATCCTAGCTGACTGTCTCTGAGCTTCTTGATCAGACCATCGACGAACAGAGACTGACATCGGCGCGGCTATGTCAGTCTCCATAACGCGATTAGTATATTGCCATAAAGCCCGACGCATATCAGATAGGCTACCCCCTACACTGATATCTCCTCTCTCTCGCTCTCCCTCTCTCCCCGCTCCTGTTCTTAGTTTCTCTCCGTTCATCATTCCTCCACCCCTACACTCCACCCCCACCCTCTCTCTCTCTCTCTCCATTACATCCTCCTTGAAAGTCTGAAACCATTTCGGCGAGGATTTTGTTCTGACGACCAATATTCCTATAGGAAGCATATATGAAAGGGTTCGAGATCATGACGACCAAATAATGCATCCGGAGTCAGTGAAGTAGAGTCTGTACTTTATTGTTTCTCTTCGTTAAACAGCCTCGGCCAATACTAGCCAAAACGCTAAACAACAGTGACCGTATGCATGCTACCATGTATCATATCCACAGCTCGTAGAAATACAGCAGACTTTAAACAAAGTCTGATCACATTTCCTCCTACAGCAGGCCAAATGTACAAGTGCTTGCAGTCCTATAACATAGCTTAGAATGGCTGCCTGCCTGCTATAGCATGCACCAATGCTAGCAATCACACAAAAGAAATCCACTCATGCAAAGAATTCAATAGAGATACCCCCAAAAAAGGCGGGAAACAGTACAATGGGAATCCCTCTAGAGGGGAAACAATACAATGGGAATCCCTCTAGAGGGGAAACAATTTTTCATTGACTGAAGAAGCAAGGGGGCATCTTTGCACCACATAATTCCTATTTAATTTACAACATAAATTCCATTTACAACACCTATATTGTTCCTAATCCATCCAATTCATCAGATGTCATTTTATCAATCATAAATATCACTTTCATTATGTTAAATTTACAATTTAGCCTATGTATTTCATTTCATTTCTTTGTAAAATTGTGATTGCTTTTTATTTGCACGGCCATGCTGAAGAACGGCCTTTGTAAATACCGGCATCGAGGGGGGGGGGGGGGGGGGGGGGGGGTCTGACTCGTAATTGCAAAATGTCCTTTGGAATGTTTATTGATTAAAAATCGAGTCATCTATACAAATTAAAAGCTCATCAAAGCTATAAAAAAAAATGTAATGCAAGGGGTCTTCACTAAGAAGTTTGTGCATGGGAATAAAGAAGTTGAGAACCTTTCTTTATTACCCTTGTCCACAATTTATTTTGAAAAGATAAAGGTACCTTCCTTGTCGACATTTTTTTTGACCGAACTCGTCTCCCACATTCAAAATTTGTCATAGTTGAACAGTTAAACAATATTTTACCCTCTTATAAACTATTTCTTATTTATACATAATATGGCTTGGCTTGACCTATATTACGTTTCAATCCATTATTTAACAGATCAGGGTATATTGATAGATATCCGTCTTCTTTATACCAAGGACTGTGTCAATACAATGACCTACCTTTAGATATTAAATTGTCAAATAACTTAATTTTGTTTTGCTAACATCTGAATATAAGAACTCAAGTTTGCTTTGCCGGGGGAAAATGCAATGAATTTTTGACAATTTATTGCATTTTCTTCGTTTTGGGGGATTTGTGGAAGGGGCCGCGTACCCTAGCAAACACTGCGTACAGTCATGATTCTGGGGCTTAGCAATGACCTCGTTACTGTGAGGCCCCATGATAAAACTCGTGTCGATCAGCTATATTAGTGCCCTTTTGTGAGGCATTAATCCTCATTACTGTCAATTATGATTTAAGGACGTAGATTCCCTAGCTGATTAGCATAGTAGCACACATATGATTTAGCAGTCACGCAAAACAAACACTCGCAAATTAATATTCAATAAAATCTGAGAATGTATGCCATTATCTAGATCTATAAGAAATATTTAAAAAAATAAATTCTTCCCTAAACTGGCGCAAAAATAATTATTCCACCATTATGACCAACAGTGTAGTTGGAAATGAGGTGGCAGTGGCGGATCCAGGGGGGGGGGGGGCCGGGGGGCCCGCCCCCCCCCTTGAGAAAAAAAATCATGTAAAATCACGTGATTTTTACCTTTTTGGGGGTTGCCCCCCCCCCCCTGGCGCTCAAGGGGGGGGGGGGGTGCAAATTGAAATTTTTTTTTGAGGATAAAAAAAAAAAAGTGCTCACTACCCCCCCCCCTGAGCGAATTTTTGGCCGGCGCGTTTTTCACATTTTCGGGAGCAAAAAAAAAAAAAAAAAAAAAATGGGCCCCCCTCCCCTAAGAAATCCTGGATCCGCGCCTGGGAGGTGGGGTGGGTTAATCACAATTTTAGATGTGTTTTCTGGATGTCTTCAACAGTTTACGACTATAAGTAGAATTGCTTTATTTTGTTTTTATTGTAAGTTCACTTTCATTTAAATTTCTGGACCCCAAAGAAGAACAGTTTTGTCTTATTAACAAAGCTGAGTTGGCCATCCAGCCATTCACAATATTCTTTGATTTTATATGTACTTTTCCATGTTGATGTATTGCTTGATTTAGAGAAAAAATACCATACCATACCGTATAGTTTCGGGTAATCTAATTAGAATATCGTACACCTTGAAATTTTGCTTCCTATATGGTTTTAGATACTTTATGTAGACAGAAACTGGTACGACAAACGTGAAAACACTCACTCATCGTATACATCGTGATATATAATTTGCTTAAACATATTCAATTTGAAAGAATTACAGAAAGGTTAGATTGTGTGTTCTCAAATGTTGGTTTGAATAACGACACCGCAATATTATTTCAATAAAGGCAGTTTGTTGTGGGAAAATATAGTGAAATATCAAATTTGTATTAGGCACTATTCTGAAAATGCATCCGACTGTGTGCTATTTATGCCAAGCGAAGAATATACCGAACTCGGTAAGGAGGGTATATAATTATGTCCCTCCATCATATTTTGCTGGCCAATAGGGAAATATAGGGAAGGGGCCTGCCCCTAAAGACACCATGTTTATCAAAGGTGAAAGTTGAATTACATTATATAACATTATTGAATCAAATCAAACATTAGAAGGAAGACATTGGCTAAAGCGTTACTATTATGCAAATTCGATCTTTGCCAAGTTGTTCGGCAAAACACAATATCAAAATACGATACAATTAAAGTAAACATATAGATTGAATCTAATCTTCACGACAAACTCGAACACATAACATGAAGTAGAAAGATCATTCTACCGTATAAAACATTTAACCAAAATAATTTACTTTATAAACTTTATACATGAATATTGTAAATGCATTACATCGACTTCATATCTGCAAAGCCATTTCCTGCTCTTTTCAGTTTTGTTATCATCAGTCGGAGGTAATGCACCAGCCTATTATTTGATAAACCTCTCTTTGAAGTAGAAATATATTCTCGTCACTGATTTGGCATATTGATGATTGCATCGTAAGAAAGGCTTATTTCCATGCATAATTTGTTTCTTATTCTACATCTAGAATCCTGAGAATATTCTGATTATTAAAGAAAGATACAATACAATACAATACAATAAAGTCATTTCTACAGCGCTCTTACAAACTAACTGTTGTTTCACAGCGCTTTATATAAAAGTTATCAAAGAATCTATTGTTGATCATGGTCAAAAAGGAGAGTTTTTAGACATTTTCGGAAGACATCAAGCGAAGGTGCTAATCGATAAATACTTTTTATTTGCACTTTGTTGATAATTTATTATAAATTTAGTTTCAACGCTGATTTAGCATATAGGCATATTGATATGGCATCATAGTTTGTAATAGGAACTGGAGCGTGTAATAAAAGAATTATTAACAGAAGAGAAAGAGTTTTCATTTGCCTTCATCGAAAATGTTATGTTTGGGAGCAACTGAACTGAATATCAGAAAAGAAAAGTATAGGGGAGGAGGAGGATAATTAAGAAGAAGAAAGAGAAGAAAAGGAGAAGAAGGAAAAAAGGAGACTTTTCCAATGAAGACTTAATCATTCAAAGAACGATACAAATTTAGAAAATGAATGCAATCTTATTTGAAGTAGTGAGTAATGCATATATTGCTTCCATTGTATCTTTCAATTATTTTCTTCTCCATATTTGTAATAATTGTTATGCTTATGTTTTGTAAAACAAAATATTTATGTAGCATGTGAATGAAGTTTTCGAATGAAATTATGTTATTATACATTATATCTATTTTACTATGATTATTAAGACACTTTAAAAATGATTAATGACAATAATATTCATATTATATCTATTCTTGGGAACCTACAAAAACAAGCTGTGCTTTCCAATACAGGTTCCTGTTTTATTTCATAATTTTGAACTTACTTTGTCAACTATGTTCTTTGTTGTACAAACAATAAATGGAATAAAATTTGAATCAATCAATCAATAAAATAGACTACACAAATTCAAAATACAGTCTAATTTTCTAGATTCAGCCCTAAAAACACTCTAAATTATCATTCACCCCTCCCCTATTTTCACTTATCAATTAACAGAAAGGAATGATATAAGTTGAAAAGTTAGGATTATAACCGTTGGCGAGCCGAAAGTCGCGGGGGCCGAGTCTGTGTAGGGTCGACATGTATCGTGTCCTGGATCCTGGATGCATTGAACGTGGCGAGTGATGCTGAAATTAATTGACAATTTGGGAATAAGGTATTATAAAAAGAGGAATGATAAAGATTTGAAAAGATTTATCATAATATTCATAAATGATAACAGAAAAAAAGGAGAACAAAAGAAGGAAGAGAAAAAATATTAAAAAATGATAGGACATAGAAGAGAGAGCACAATACAAAGTAAATAAGACTATATAAGTAGACAGAAAAACAGGTGGCGAAAAAAACGGAAGAGGGGGAGGAGGAGGAGGAGGGGAAGAAGAAGAAGGAGAAGAAGAAGAAGAAGAAGAAGAAGAAGAAGAAGAAGAAGACGAGGAGGGGACAGGCGCGTAGCCAGGGGGCGATGGGGGCGGTCGCCCCCCAAAAAACGCCGGCTAAAAAAAAAAAGAGAGAGAGAAAGAAGAAAGGAAGAGGACGTAGGTAGAAAAAGGATTAAGAGTCGAGAACGGTACAACGAATCGACTTCTTTCTCTAATAATTTAATGAAACGTCAAGGCTTCCGCGCTTCGCGCGTGAGGGGCGGGGAAAAACTGAATTCAGATAAGGATTAAGAGTCGAGAATGGTACAACGAATCGTCTTCTTTCTTTAATAGTTTAACGAAACTTCAGAGCTTTCGCGCTACGCGCGGAGGAAGGGGAACTTGATTCAAACAAGGATTACGAGTCGAGAACGGTACAATGAATCGTCTTCTAATAATTTAATGAAACGTCAATAGAAACTGAATTTAGACAAGGATTAAGAGTCGAGGACGGTACAACGAATCGCCTTCTTTCTCTAGTAATCTAATGAAACTCCCCCCCCCCCCCTCCCTGCACCCACTCCCCTAGGGAGCGCGCTATGCGCGCTCTGTATGATTCGCACGCTTTGCGTGTTCACTACCGCCCCTACTAAAATAAAATCTTGGCTACCCGCTTGGGAGGAGAAGATACGAAGAAGAAGTGAAGATGAAGAGGGATAGGAAGAATGGAAAGGGTCGAGAAATACATGTATGTACCCTACCCTCTAAAAGATATATAGATATTTGACTCATGGAGTAGCATGAAAAATAAATATATACAAAACAATGAATAGAAGATTACATTCGAAAGTAAGATTGAAAGATAGAAAAGGAGAAAATAAAAGATATATAAATTATAGAGAGAGATGGACAGAAATAGAGAGGAGAGGGCCGGGAGAGAAGGGGGCATGCAGAGTAAACAGACAAAGAGGAAGAGAACCAGCTTACCTTGGATCGTCAATGCATTCAAATGTAATTCTCTTTGCCGTTATGTCTTCTTGTAATTCCAACAATGAACCTGTAACACATTTTTCTCTGTGAATAGAGAACAAAAGAAATGTAATAAGACTACAGAGACTATCCAAACCGTTTTGTATTAAGTGAGAGTTAAAATATCTCCGGATTATTTCGCAATAAACAAAAATCCCGCTCTGAAGTTTTCATTACTTTTTTGCAAGGTTCATTCATCTTTTAACACCAAATTGATGTAAATTAGGCGTTCCGGAATCGCATGAAAATGGAGAATAATAGTCCAGGATGTCGTTTACAAAATGTGTTTTAAATATGTCTTTGAATCAGGCATATCCAACATTCAAAATTAGAACATGAAAATTTGTAAAACAATGGCATATACAGGATTAAAAACAATGAAATGTATAAGAGGTTAAAAACAACAAATAAAATTCAGAAAATGAGGACAAGTCTTTATCCAAAATTTGCTGCAGCCTATTTTGACTACTATTAATTCCACTAAAAAGGTGGGGTTTATGTAACACCCTACTCCTAAATGGAGTTCTTCCAAACAGCTCAGCTTAAATAAGGTTGATACACAACATAATCATTACATGAAAAGAGGTGAGAAGAAGCAACAAAAGAAAATCATCTAAATCAGTTATGAGCAACAGTGAAGTCTAAAAAATAAGTCATGTGACCTATGTATCCTTACGTCACGTCTCCGTTAAGGTTATGGACAACGTAAGCCGTCAGTGACGTCACTTTAGCTGGGTCAAGATTGGCCACCTCCTGGAGCCGAAAGAAGCTAAAAAAAAATAATGTAATTTGATTTATTTTAGTTTTCTTGGTGGTCTTTTTCCAAAGTAACATACTAATACTTAAATAATCATGATAATAAACAAATTAATACATCATCAACGATAAAGAGAATTAAGTAGAAGGTAGAAGGAAACGAGAGAGGGAGAGAGAGAGAGAGAGAGGGGGGGGGGGGGGAGAGAGAGAAGAAAAATGTAATATTTCATTTGCGTCCAGAGTCATCATACTCCTTAAGGAGATACTGTTTTGGGGCAAAAAACAACAAAAGAGAGTCATGTTAAAACAGTTAATATTTCTTTCTTGAACATCATGAATTAAATGCACGGATAAGCTGTTTCTAATTCGCTATGTGATCGTTACACCTGAGTAGTCATTTCAGTTGCGGTACCTACTCACATTGGCTCTGTGATGGTAATTAGATCGTACGCCCTTATTGCCAAACAAAATATGTGAACTCCTTATATACATTCCTTATTTTTGAATGATGGCACTCTCACTACAGTGCTAGTGACTGATGCATTATTATCTCTTACCATTATCATTATTATTAGCATTATTGCCATTATCATTATTATTATCATTACTATTATCAGTATTGTTATCATTAATGTTATTATTGTCCGCGAAAGGGGGGTTCGGAAATGTTGGCAGTCCTCAGATAGGGGGTGCTTTCAAAAAGAGTGAACAAGCATAATTATGCGTTCTCCCTTATGCGTAACCTAAATTATCATTATTATTATCATTATTATCATTAATGTTGCCATTCCATTGACGATGTAAGGGGCTAATCTGTAAAGTTTAATAAATCGAAACATTATGCTGTGATGCGCCTCTAAAAGTAATATGTCCCATTTGCAGGCCAAAAAATGAAAAGGTTAAATTCCAATGGCATGGGGATAAAAAGAAATGTTCATGTCCAACGTTTGGCCCCGCCCCCCCCCCCCCTCCCCCCACTCAGTGTTATTTAGGTTACGCATAATTATGCTTGTTCCCTCTTTTTGAAAGCACCCCCTATCTGAGGACTGCCAACATTTTCGAACCCCCCTTTCGCGGGCTTTTCCTGCCTCGGAGACCCCCCCCCCCTAAATCATGAAAAATGCTCAATGTACCCCCCTAAATTCGGAATAATTTCTCAGGAGTCCAAAGAGATGAGAGAAAAAAAAGAAAAAACACCCCCTTTTTAAAGAAATCTCCGGGTGAAAAGTTAATACACCCCTTTTTTTACAATTCTCGGGCCGGACTTTGTCGCACGAAAAGTACCCCTTTACCGGACATTTTGGTAACACGCATGGGGTCCGTCCGTTCTCGGTGTGGGGGGGGGGGGCGGGCGTTTAGCAAGGTACTTTTTCCAGAATCTGGCCGTTTTTTTATATTCCATACACTTGATTCAAGCCACTGAAGCTGGCGTTTTCAACGAACTCATACGTAGACCAGCCATCCAAGCGCCACATTAATATTGTGATTGTCTCAAAAGAAACGTACACGTCATGCGCTAGTCATAAATATTCATAATACGTACCGCACACCCACTATGTCCATGACAGACAAAGAAAGCGGACAAAATATACAGTTCCTCAGGTAGACAAAGGAACATCTATCTATTCACTGCTATTATGTAAAAAGGTGAATATGCAAGTGACACCTGTTCTACACATTTTTACATAATAGCAGTAAAGGGGGTGTTCCTTTGTCTACCTAAGGAACTGTATATTGTGTCCGCTTTCTTGTCAGTCATAGTGACAGAACGTGATGCGATAATTTGTTCAAGCCATGTTTGGCTGGCACTGGCAGCGAGTAAGCAGGGGGTGTCGCATTGCGTTAATGTGGTGGAGATCAACATTTAATCGTCCAGATTCCAAACTGTACTCTTGAGTGCCCTTTTATTCTTGTATTCCATTATAGAGATTCAGTCAATAGAAATTGCTCGACAAGTAATCAAATCAAATGCATAAATCTTTAGTGTGTTGCATGGTACAAATTATTTCATTCACCTTTTATAAATAATTGTATTCCAATATTAAGAATGCGAATAAAATTATTTGTAGCGAGGCTTTTAACAAAGATCATGAGCATCAAACTTGATTATATTACGAAAATGGTCTATTCCCTGTGTAATTGTATTGACCTTAACTTCGGGTCAATATGAATGCAATTTTGAACAGATATTTTCAAAAGAAAAAAAAGAAATAAGCCTTCTATAAAAATTAAAAAAAAAGGTTTAAATTAGGCATCACGTTTAATATGCAGAAACTCCGTAGGTCTAATAGGAAAATGATCAGGAAATATTCTTTGAACATTATTCTCAGATAGAATGTAAAAAAACGATCATTAGTATTTCGCCAGATCCGAAACTAGCTCATTTAGATGTAATTTGTGAGTTGATTGGATATGACCTATTGACCTTGTCGCTATTCACCATCTTTACCTTGTTGGTCGATACGCCCCGTCTGCTCTGCTCCCATCCAGTATAACAGTGACGTCACCACTCGCTTGGCCAGCAAACTGAAACATAAAATCAAGTTGGGATGTGATCAAAATTGAAGTGAGATTTTTTAAATTACAAATTCACGGGAGCTGCAGACTTCACTCCCGAAACCACCTCCTATATACGCCCATGCCCCTGATAATCCTGGATACGCATCTAGCTGTGTTCGACTCACACAGTTGCATGTAGGATAAGTTGTGAAATATATATCAATATTTTATTGTATTAGCAATACCAGGCTCAAAGAAGGCTTATTGTTTTTTAAGATCTTTAAATAAAAAGAGGGTTTAATGATAAAAATGTTGTCGTGTTCTAGTGGATCGACATAGTAATGTGGATCATAACTGAGATAATTATGCAGCTCGAGCTAGCCCCAGCTGCAGCACAACGTCCTTTGCTGAAACAAAAGTTTGCCACTCTTCACCAAGGTGAAGAAAATGGTTACCCGGTAGGGTCAGCTTGGTTATATTAGGGTATAGTAATGTTTCTTTGTAGGCACACTGAACATCACTGGGGATGCACAAATTTAACGTGCGCAATAGAGTCATTTTTATTACGGCTTACACGTTGTGACGACTTTTTCCAAAATGCATCTTGCGTATCGTTTTCACAACTGCCGAACATCGGACAAGCGTCGTAATTTATCCCCGGAGCGTCGACCATGCCGCAGAAGGTAATGCCGTTTACAAGCCCGCCAAGCATCGTGAGTTCGATGTTGGTGAAATCGGAGGACTGTCTTCCGATCGCCATTGCCATGCTATACATTCCTGAATAGAATAGTGTCTGAAACAAATAGAATACAAATCATGAGAATGATAAATATTTTTTTTTCTCTTCAAAATGTCTGTTGTTATCTTTTGTCAGAGGCGGATTAATATTGCCGGCTACTTTTATTTCATTTGAAATTCATGGTTGGTACAAAAATATTGTTCCCGTTTTTTTTTCTTCTCTTCGTCTTTCTTTTCTTTTGCATTGATTTGAATCATTATCATAGACGACGTAGTTACGGAGGCGTCAGGTACACCTCATCGAAATAATAATAGTACATTTATAGAGCGCAGAAACTATCCAACATTAGGTATATATTCTACTGCGCTACAAGAGCTCCTGATATGCTTAGATTTACGGTACAGTTGATTAAAAAGATGTGTTTTCAGTTTTTACTTAAAGACGTTTACAGATGGTGATTTCCTGACTTCAAATGGCAAGTTATTCCAGAGTTTTGGGGCTGCACAAGCAAATGCTCGATCACCTAGCGTTATTTTTGATTTGATAGATTGGATCTGTAGCAACAAAGTATTTCGGGAACTGCGCTAGTTGCGATTGTGTTGATTAGGTTTGAAATTCAACAGTTCTTTGATATAAGTGGGAACTTGACCAAGAAGTGCTTTATATACAATCAGCAAGATTTTGAATGTTATTCTCTGGCGTACTGGTAACCAATGTAGATTTCCTAAAATTGGGGTGATCCGTGTGAATTTAGAACAACCACAAATCAGCCTTGCACAGGTGTTTTGAACCCGTTGCAATCTCACTATTTTGAGAGTCAGGGAAATGGGAAAGAGAAATGAAAAAAAGGTAAAGAGCTGTGATAGAGAGGGGCACGGTGATAGATAGGGCGAGAGAGAGAGAGAGAGAGGGGAGAGGGAGAGAGAGAGAGGTATAGAGAGAGAGGGGAGGGAGAGAGAGAGAGAGAGAGAGAGCGAGAGAGAGAGAGAGAGAGAGAAAGGGGGTAGGGGGGTAAACAGACAGAGAAAGACATATAGAGACAGAGACAGAGATAAAGATAGCAAAGAAGTGAAAGAGAAAGAGAGATCGATAGGCGAGGTTGGGGTATGGGTAAAGGACATGCAGATACCATGGTAACTATAGGGACTTTTAGATTTACACGACGAGAACGTGGACCGCCACGTGTGACATCCTTTTAAGGCACTGCTGGGCACGGCACAGTGCCTTAACACAATGTCACACGCGGCAGTCCACGCTCTCGTCGTGTAAATCTAAAAGTCCCTAATGACACGTGGAGGACGAACCTGGTCATTGGTGAGGGGAACGAAGGCCATGTTAGCATAGTCATCGAAGTCCTCTGGCACGCTGTTACAAGGCTTCTGGTAGGAAAAACTCGAACTAAAGGCGTCCCACAGACCCGAACAGTTGTACAACCTGTGCGGGAATAGAACATTAAAGATGAAGTTGAGTTCTGGTCATGCGATTGCATTGTGAAAGAAACGGTGTGGAATCGACCAGAAACGGTTGATCATCTAGCATATAAGAATTTGTGTGTATTGCAAGGTTCTGGAATCATGAAAATGATTCCAGAAATTTGGCCAAGTCTTGGCAAAGTTACAAGCACTGTACACAGAAAGATGTATGGGACTACACGAACACGTGGCGTAAACATCGTACCCCGGAGTTTTACGATGTTACATGACATATTTAGAATATGAAGGCATTTGAAGAGCCATGCTTTTCATGGAACATGTCTTATCTGATGTTCTTTCACACTTGCATAGAATGATAACGCTCACAAATTATTTTTCACCTCTTCCCAGAACTTAACCTTCTCTTTAAATTTGAAAGACATAGCTTAAAATGCAAATCTCAACCTGCTTATTAAGTTCACTCAAATGAAGCACAAAGTGGTCTTTATGTATAGACAGGTTCCTCCAATAGGGACTTTTAGATTTACACGACGAGAACGTGGACTGCCACGTGTGACATCCTTTTAAGGCAATGTGACGTCCTTTTAAGGAACTGCCGGACACTGCCAGTGCCTTAAAAGGACGTCACATTGCCTTAAAAAGATGTCACACGTGGCAGTCCACGCTCTCGTGGTGCAGATCTAAAAGTCCTTAATATTTATAGTCCTCTGACAGGGTGTTAAGACGATTTTGGTAAGAAAAACATCCATCTGAACGTGTCTCAAAAACTCGAACAATCTTTTAATTTGGATATTTATATAACCCACGAGACCGAAAATTTTCCCTTCGGTCACCTTTTCTGAGGGTTCATGAAACTGACGGCCAGGGAGATCGAAATCTCGTGGGCCTCCTGTTAACTTAGTTTTAGGGCTCACAAGATTATGAGCGACGTCATTTAAGTCTTTTATTCTCCATGATTTATTTGTTTTTCTTCTCTCCTTTTCGTTTCCATTCGTATTTCTTTAAAAAAAAAAAAAAAAAAAAAAAAAACATTTGCCACTTACTACCAATGCGTTAAGTGGGTAGCCTACTCGATAGAATTCTTAAACAATTATTACAAATTCAATTTCGGCTTTATCGTTTAAAAAAAATAACATGGCAAAAGTCCGTGTATAGACTTTACTATTGTCATATCTACAGTAAAATACAAGAAAACATGAAATAAGGTTATAAATAATTGTACATTATAGTAGTTCTATAACTAAAAATATGAACGTGACTATATGCATTAAAAACATGATGTCAAACAGTCATTATCATGTTTAATTAAATTGGATAGTTTTGTTTATCAGATTAATGGTACAATGGATGCCGGTAGTAAGGAAAAGAGAAATGTTTCATGACAAAAAACAAGTCCATTTAAAACAATAAAAAATTGGCAATTCAGAAGTCACTCACAAAAACAAATGCTAACATCGAATAAAGGCGGGACATATTGATTGAAACTCACATTTATTTCCTTCCCATTATTCTGTACAATATGGTAAAAACACGTAGATTTGTACAATAAACAAATCAGAAAATAGAACGAGGCGAAAACCACTAAAGCAAGACTTTTGGGGTTGGTATTCCCATGGACCTAGTCCATGGGAATACCAATAAGAAATTCAAGACAAGTTAATAACATCATGATATGGATACGTTTCGGGCATTGAATAAGGCAGTATGGAAATCAAATACAATGCAGTCATCAAAGGAATAAATGACTTCGTTTCTTACATTGTAATGTAATAATGCTACTGTGATTTTGTCGATACTAAGAGCTCGTCAAATTAATATTTATCATTGTGTTTATCTTGTATTAAGTTTTACTTCAAGCAATAGAGAGTCGCAACGACCTTATTTTTTTAAGGGAAATTCTGCTGGTAGATCTTCAGTTTTATTGCGAATTGAATCTCGCATTGTAAAACAATACCTGATAATGATGTACTGTTTCTAGGTTAGTGTATAGTATTACAAGTTACAAGGTTTCACATATAGGCCTACTTTTTGTTTGCATGTTCATTATTGCTGACATATCGCAAAGGTAATGATACATCAATTCTGTGCTGTGTTATGCAAGTGTGTCATAACGTACTAAAACTATATCAAAAAGATAAGAAATACATACCAGCCGCAGGGTGACCTGAAATACTATGCCATGACATCCCATGTTTTAACAAAAACGAACAAATACAAATTTCCGAGAAATAATCAACTTACGGGTAATTCCAATACGCGCTAATGGATATCGTGTTCGTATTATGTAACTCATTGTGATGTTCACACATTTTAAAATGTGACGTACAAGGCTACTGATAATGCCTTAGGTTGATTTCTCATAAGCAATTGCGATTGTGTTAAACAAAAAAAACAAAAAACAAAAACGCAATAACAAGACATCCAGCCTCAAAGACTTGATTATGAGGGTATAATAAAACCATTTTGCAAACAATAACAAACCCTGTTTTGTATAATATCAGTATACTTTTCATGTAGTTTGATTAGATATATTCCAGTTTTGTCAGCAAATTCTAATATATATATATATATGCTACCTATAGTGTTTTTGTAAATTAAGATTGTAGTTTAGTACAATGAAATCTTAAGTCTGTGGTGGTATCATCGTAAACAGAAGGCTCACGCAATATATTCAAACGCATCTTCTCAGGTTTGACAGTAACTTGTCTTTAAGTGTAATGGGAATTCCAAGCACAAGCATTTGCTTCCGGGTTTTCGCGTCCTTCTGGTATTTGAATGTATGTACTGTACAGTTCTGTTTGCTTATTGTTTACCATCAATGAGAAAGAATAAAACTTAAAACCAATTCAATTCAACGAAGTAATTGTCATTACATCCCGAATCCAAATTATGATGTCATCAAAAGCAAGACTCGGGAAGCGAGGGAAGAGCCGGGGAAAGAAACAAACGGAGACACACAAACAGGAAAAATAAAATATGGCATAGTAAACAAAAAAATGGGGAAGAGGGAGGGGAGAAAGAGAGAGAGAGAGAGAGAGAGAGAGAGAGGAGGGAGAGAGAGAGAGAGAGAGAGAGAGAGAGAGAGAGAGAGAAAAAGAATTTAGTCAACTAGGCCTCCTTCAAACAAAAACTGCATGTAGACATTGTGCAGCAAGCTTGCATAAAGAAACAGAACAAAATATTACAATGGCGTAGAAAGGGGCGGGTGAAGCACAAGGGGCATTTGCCCCTCTTGTAATTACCCCAAAATAACTAAGGGAAGAAAGAAATAGTATGGTCAGATCCTAACTACATCATTGTTATATAAACACTCCTATCCATGATTTTCAATAAAAGAAAAAATGCCAGTTTGTGTTGACATGAATTAAACAACGTATTGCATATATTTTGAAATCATATCATAAAATGTAAATTTACATATTGAGTCCCATTGTTCTTGGTCTACCCTGTAGTGCTTGGTAAACGTGATGTTTGATTAAGCACGTTTGTTTGGAATAACTCGAACCTCCCACGCTTAAAGGTGTGACTTATTCGCACGCAATTGTGAGAAAAATGAACAAATATTGTATTTTACCGGGCGTGAAGTCACGATAATATGGAATATAACAATGTTAAGATATACATTTACTATTTTTTTTCTTTCTTGTGTGATTTGTTTATTGCTTATATCATGTAGGACAATAGCAGAGGGAAATTGTTGTTTTGAGTTTAGTTGGCTAATAAACAAAAATTATTTGAATCTAATAGAGATTGAAGGATATCTAAAACCATAAATAATAACAGTTCTGTGGGATTATGAGTAACGCGGGTTAAGGGGGGTGGGGGCGGAGGCACCGGTCGTACTCGATGAATGAAATGCGAATGAACAACGGCAGTTTAGGAAGGGAGTCGAATCACTTTTCCTACCCTCCCTCTCACTTATCCCTTTCTTAAGTTATTTTTTCGCCATTCGATGGGAGAGCGGGTGGCATGCGCATGTGACCATCCGGTAGGTACACCACTGGACCGGATAATTTTGATGACGATGACGATGATCGGCTGACAACGAAGAAATGACGCGCAACAAAATCGAACATTACGTTGCTATGGTTGACCCGGCCAACCCTATATGTCGCACATGATCAAACGTAATAACTATCCTCTCACAGACTCTCTGTAACTATAGTGACTACATAGGTAAACAGTTTAATTGCAGCAAACAAAAATGAATCACAGATATACCAATTCATTATCAATTTCCTGAGAAAGTGAAATAAAAAAATATATGACCGAATTGATCTTCCCTGATCATCCGGATAAAGGTTTGGTATGCGTATTTCCTGCTTGAATGAGACATTGGACTGGTCTGGTCTTTTCAAGAATGAGCACTTCTCTTTATTCTCAAGGCAGAAAACTCCTGTTATTATCAAAAAGGAGCATTTGTTGTTTATTATTATTACATTATGTTACATACACCATGGCTCCGCCCCCCCCCCATTTTGGATTGTCCCTTAAGACTTTAGTGACCTTGTCTTCGATTTGTTTGCTAGAAACGGGGAAAAGGTTACCAGACAAACCATCGAACAGCTTATAAGTAAATATTTAATTTGGAGGCAATATTGTTCGAATAAACTTTATACCTAGCATGAATCAGGAAAAATTAAACTTAAAATTTTGAATGTAAAAATGAAGGAATGAACCTTCTCGTCTATAGCACATAATTTTTTGGAAAACCTCTCTATCTTAGACACCGCTCATTCATCCTAAACGCAAATAGTTTATTTGAAGGCAATGATAATGAACTTAGCACAAATAAAAGAAAATAAACTCTAATTTCATATTCCAATAGGCAAATTAATGAAGAGAATGATCCTTCTCGTTTGTGCCAGTGTCACTAAATTTGTTTGAACTTTCTTTTTCTAAATCGTCTCTACTCACATTGGGGGAGAAAGAAGCTTTTTCAGAGCAAGGGTTTCGTGTGATATTATCCAAAAATTTCTCTTGAGAAGTTTTACATAATGCTCATTGCATAATGCAATGAGTAGTGCAATGAGCATAGAACAAGCGTTTCTTAGGCTTTGAACATTAGTAGTGATAAAAAAAAGGTGGAAGAAGAGAGAGAGAGAGAGGGGGGGGGGGAAGAAGTTTTCCGAAGACTCTTTTAAAAGAAAATATATTTAGGGCTTAAATTTCATCACATTCTTAATATTCCGTATCGCCTTTTCTTTGCTAGGAATTCAGTATTAGTTTCGCTTTCTGGCGATCCCCTATTCGAAGGCCATAATTGATTTTTTTTTTTAAAATCAGAACTTTAGATCCATTTGTATGTTTTGTCCGGTTTCCTTGAGATACCTCATTCACATACTTATCTCACTATGTTTGATACTTGTGTAATGGTGTTAAGCAATTCAAGTCTTACAGCAGGAAGAACGATGGTGGGCTTATTGAAATTGACCCTGGCTAGATTTTTTGTTTTGGAAAAACAGTTGCGATTATCAAACTACATATTGCTCTTTTTATAATAATAATAATAATAATAATAATAGATCACATTAACGCGCCTAATACATTGTTTCTAGGCGCTGTGGTGCTGTTGTCCCAGCAGCCAGCATTAAGTGAAGCAATGTCCTTACTTGAATACTTATGTTAATTTAGCAATTCAAGTCTCAAAGCGGAACAACGATCGCTATACCCCACTTAAACCAACGATCAAGACCAACACCAGACAGACAAAAGATCGAAAAATAAGAGTACCGAACTTTGACGGGACTCGAACCACGGACCTTATGATCCACAGTCGTGTGACATATCAACTCGACCATGACACCTCTAATAATATAACCCTAGTGTTGATTAATAATGTTGCCCGACTTACGTTTGCCCAGTTACATCTGCCCAACTTATATTGAACATGTAATTGGGTAAATACATGTAGTAAATGGTTGGGAGAAAATAACCCAATTGTTGGACGACAATTGCCCAACATCGATTTACCCAGTAACATCTGCCCAACTTTTTTTTTTGCGTTTCATGAGGTAACTTCATATAGTAAATGGTTGGGAGAAAATAACCCAATTGTTGGACAAAATTTGCCCAACATCGATTTACCCAGTAACATCTGCCCAACTTTGTTAACAGTGTTGTCACCACCCCAGCAGCATTTACATTCTATATGTATAAACTGGAATATTAATTTTCAACACCCTACGCTAACTTTCCACCTCCTCAGCGCAATGTACATTCTCAACGGATAAATTGAATATCAATTCTCCACCACCCTACGCTATCTTTTCACCACCATCATCATATCCATGTTCTATGGATAAACTGGACTAGTAATTCTTCACCACCTCAACTACCAGTAGATCGGGTTTTTTCTCTTCCCCTAAAAGTCGTAAACTATAAAGTAATGTTGTTTGTAAGGTGATCATAAAAAATATGACTTTATGGATGACAGAGAAGGTTAAGCGTGTGATTAATTAATTTAGGTTAGAGTCGAGCTACTTAAACACCATGGTAAGGACTTAAAACAAATCGACCTAAAATGATAATTAACATAGTCTTTTGTATTCCTTATAGAGATCTTTTTTTCTGGATTTGCGAACGTATTCTAATTGACTTGAATGGTCGAATGTAAAATAACCATGATACGTTAGTAACTGTAACGATTAACGATTCCTTATTTTCTCATTGAAACGTGTCAGTGAACTAAGTATCTTTTAGCTCAACTATTAAATAAAGAATATATTGTCCAAAAAAAGAGTGAATAATCTATTGATTAGACATGAACACAAGAAAGACAACATTGATTTTTACACCATGTGTAACGAAGCTTAAGGATGCAGTAATAAAAATGACTAAATGAAATCAAGATTTGGACCCTATTGGAAATAATCTATTTACTAGCTATCAGGGGTCATCTTAGCCTCTTGTCGATGGCCCTGGCGTTGTTGGAGTCCGTAAATTCTGGCGAGCGAAGCAAGCCAGAGAAAAGGCGTCGGTTTTTCAGAAACTCCAACAACGCCAGGGCCATCGACAAGAGGCTAGGGTCATCCATGTCAAAAGTATCCACTGTCGTATATATTCGATAGTGGATACTTTTGACATTTTTCGAGGACACTTTTTTTTTTTTTTTGTCTCGAAATTTGAAAATTTGACATTTTGCTCCGTTGGGGGGGAGGTTAAGGTCACCTTTTTTAGGTCAGCCATGGGAATAATTTTTTATTATTATTATTATTATTTTTTTATTATTTAAAAAAAAAAAAAAAAAAAAAAAAAAAAAAACCAAAAAGGGGGGGGGGGGGGGGTTTGGTTTTTTAGGGGGGTTTATACACATGAAAAATACCTAAGGGGGGGGGGGTTCACCCCCCAAACACACCCCCTGCGTACGCGCCTCCAACCACCTAACACTCAATCTAATCAATGAATCAAGTAACCTACAAATCAATCAGCCAATTTTTGTATCAATCACTATGTAAAATGAAATTCTACAAAAAATTCTACAGTTCGGTAGCTTTAGTAAAATCGTTTTCTTCAAAATTGAAACTTCCATCGATTGGAATATGATGCACTCACCCTGCCTGTTCTTCAGAGCAATATTCGCAATCATAACAACGACCGAGAAAGATTGCTTTCAAGTTGGCCGTCGTGCCGTCACCGAGATTCAACGGCAATTCCGTGGTCATGTTGTTTCCGTCCGCTCGCCGAACGCGACTACCAGCATCATCATCGTCCGTATCGCCGAAAGGCAACAGACGACCAGAGGAGTTTACAACAAGAGACGCGGCGACGATCACCAGAACGAAAGCCTTGTTGATGTAGGCTGGAGCGCTAGGGGATAAACCGTAGAGGGAATGCATGACGTCTGTTTGGGGAGAGCGTACGAAACCTTTTGATCGCAGATGGTTTAATGTACTTCACAGAAGGTGATTCGTCGCGCGCATTAAATGAGAACGCTTAGTGGTCAAGCTTCTCAAACGAGCAGGACGGGCGGCGTCTTGTTTTTAATTTACACGCAAGCGCATTATGGAATTTCACAACTAATACCAATACAATATGAATAGCGACTCTCTACTCCTATTATGAATAGAGACCCTCATTTCGTATTATGAATAGCGGTACTTATGAGTATTGACCCAAAATTTTAATTATAAATAGCGACCCTCTTCTCGTTGTATAAATAGCGACCCTCATTTCGTATTATGAATAGCGGTACTTACGAGTAGTGACCACAAATTTTAATTATAAATAGCGACCCTCTTCTCGTTGTATAAATAGCGACCCCGATTTCGTATTATGAATAGCGGTCCTTATGATTAACGGTCCTTATTTCTTTATGAATAGTGACCCTCTTCTCCCATCATGAATAGCGGACCTGCAGGTTCTACCTTATGAATAGCGGTCCTTATGAAAAGCGAATAGACCTCTGATTACATAGGCCACCCCCCCCCCCCTGGTCAAATATTGGGGGAAAAACCCAATCTTCCCCCACCCCCGGATATACTGCCGTCTCTGTTTATTTTGTAAGAGATTTCTTTATCTTCCAAACGCGTCCATGCATCTGGTCAACTCTCCTTTATGTCTGCTTTTTTCTTTTTATTAATAAGCACAAACAGGGGTTGCGGAGCGTCTTCTTAAGTGGGGAAGGGGCACCAAAAATAAAGGGCACTTCCTGGACTATAAGTGGCACCTACAAAGGGAAACACTGATCAAAACGGATATACACAGTTTTAAGACATTTGGTTTATACCCCTATTGTAATAATTGTGATTACGTTATCAGGGATGATTTCATATTGTTTCTCAGTTTTACATGGTCCATGATACTGCTTAATAAAGCATCATCCTTTCCAGTTGGTTGTGATGGTCTGAATATTAGAGCCCCACTGTAGTATACTTGTAGCTACTTGCTCCCTCTACATAGCAAACGATGCCCAATCGGTGACCACTGGTCCCCCATACTGATCCTATTTTCTTTTGTTAATGGAGAGCTGAGTTGATGAGATAGCCACCTGTCAGTGACCTTGCTGGGTGGTCTATTCCCTCCTGGTCAAACTAGTACAGACGGGCTATAAGGGGAAAATTGGGACGTAGCTTTGCGAAATAATGTATGAGAAAGAAAAAAATCCTGATGGGTTTTAATTCAAGCACAATCTTATCATGAAAGACTGAAACTTAGTTTTATAAGTAACATTATTATACCAATTATAAATGCAAGCGAGCTGGGGGGGGGGGGGGGAGTATAATGAAAACATCGCTCTCAGTCGCTCTGTAGGGGCGTATGTTCTGGGGAAAGGAAAAGGGGTAATTTTCAGAAGGGAAAAGAGGCAATTATTAGAAAAGAAAAGGAGCGCTTGTCAAAGTAAACCCCGAAGCTGAAAAGGGGCACTTACCTAAAATGAAAGAAAAGGCACTGATGAGATTGAAAAAGGGCCAGATTTTGATAGAGGCATTTATCAGACGTGAAAAGGACTATTCATGAAAAGGTGAATGGGCTGAAATAAAAGGGAAAGGGAGTAATCATTAAAAAGTTAAAGGAAACACGAATCAAAATAAAAGGGGCTCTAATCAGAGGCCAAAGGGAAATTTAAGATAAAGAAAAGGGGCTCTTTTAAAAAGGGGCACATAATTATCAGAGGAAAAAAGGGGCACTTCTTACAAAGGAAAAGGGTACTTGTCAAAGTGAAAATGGTGCACTTTTCAAATGTAAAAAGGGGCACTTTTGGGGAATTGTGCCCCTGGAGCGCCGCCTCTGATCACAAAGCTTTGTGCATGTCTTTATTTACCTTTCTTTATTGGTTTCCTGTTTTGCTTTGTTTTCCTTTTGTATGTCTTTCTTCATCTCCTTCTCTATATGTTTGGCAAAATGTTCCTTACCTTTTCCCGGTTTTGTCTCTTTCTTGACGTTGCATTTGTATCTCAAATATATTTGTGTTCCAAGAAAAAATAAAGTAACCATTGTCCTTGATGTAAATTTAATATCTCTAATCTTATCAATTTTCGCAATGTAGTAAAGTAACAGTGCCAGTTATACACCTTGTAACATCAACATTGAATAGCAGAAATTATGTGCTATTGTCGTGAATGATCGAGTTAATTTGTTCTCAAACGGATAAACAGGGGAAGGGGGCAGGCCCCCTTCCACCTCCTGGCTACGCCTATGGATACTACCAGCATGTGGTCATTCGGTCTCACAATGTCTTGACAGATAAATGTAGGGAATTGTCATGAGACTCACGACAGATTGTTTGGTCCGGTGTACCATGTAGGCATGTCTCTCTTCGGGTAAGTTTATGCTTAATTTTGAAGGCAGAATGAGCGATTTGAAACGCTCATCGTAATCGCAGTTTCCCCCCCCCCCCCCCTCTCTCTCTCTCTCTCTCCTTCTCTCTCTCGGGTTCTCCTTCTGTGTGTGTGTGTGTCTCTCTCTCTTCCTCTCTCTCCCTCTCTCTCTCGCCAAACCTTTCTCTGTGTCTCTCTTTCTGACTCTCATGTTCCTTCTCCATCTCCCACTCTTTCTCTCTCCATATTGATTAGTGTAACCCTGAAGACCATTACTTTTTGCATGAAAAGAGGAAATTATTTTCTGACACAAAACTAGAAATTTGTATTATACGCTCATACATTTTGAAGGTCGGGTAATGGCAAGATCAAGGGCAATGGCAAGATCAACTGCAAAAGCAGGCCGTATGGTGTTTTCAAATCGACTTATTCTTTCTTTACTTTTTTGATTATCTTTTGGGAAAGCTATCACAGAACATCTGGCTGGAAAAATGTAATCGAAATTTTTAATTCAATACTCTATTTTACATGATCTTGTTCACTAGCAGATACTGCCTTTAAAATCAGGGATTGCATACTGCAAAGCGGCGTACGTTAAAATTAGAGGCGCCGTATTTGTAAAAATCGTGATCGTGAACAGACCGGACAGGTAGATAAGAGAACAACAACCTACTGGGGTGAAAAGGAACCCAGAGAATCAATGTCATCATAAACGTCCTCCTATTCCTAATCCTCCTCCTTCTTCTTCTTCTTCTTTGCAATGACGACCTTCGTCATTGCCTTGTTTTCGTTCACATTCTTCTTATTAATATTCTTACTTCTTCTTCCTCTTCCTCTTCCTCTTCTTCTTCTTGTCGTCCGGAATCCCATTCGTTTTGCACGTAGTGCTTGTTATTCCTAGTTAGGTGCTTTTCTCATGTCCTTTTCCTTTCAAATTTCATAGGCATAGCCTCTTACATGTCATCAAGGTCACTACATTCTTCGATTCTCGAAATCACTCATGCATAACCGTCCAAGCGCCATTTTGTCCGTTTCTGGTCCATTTTAAGGCCTTTCTATCTTCCTTCCTATCTCCACTATCCTAGATCCTACAAACTTCTAACAAATTCCTCTAGATAGTCTAAGAGGTGTTCTTTAATCTGCGACGGATAACCTGACCTTCAAAATGCCATCTTCGTACTCATAATTCAAATCTGAAACCGACTCCGTCAAAAATCTCTCAAATTCTTGAGAAATTGACCCCTAAATAATCTAAAACTGCCATAACTTTCTCATATAAATTCCGTTTTGCATTTAAATCTTACAGTATCTTAATTTCATAATTGCACATAGCCCTGCCAAATTTCACGCCCCAATGGCTTTGCAAAACATAAATAGCGCCCTCTAAAGTTCTGGGAATTGGCTTTCTCTCTGTGGCCGTATCTCCATTATGGCTTGGCAAATCCGTACCCTTTTTTGGATTTAGATACTTGAAGATATGCCCTTTCCAGCCATATACAAAATTATATACCCTAACACTGACCGACTTTGCGAAAAATGCCCTCCAAATTCGCCATTTTCAAGAAAATTGAGAAATAACTTCAACTTGCTCTAAAATGGCGATCGTTATACCTACATCAATGAAACTTGGCAGACATATGTATCCATATACGTGACAACTGTCTGTCAAGTTTAGTAAATTTCGAAAATGTCAGCGCAAAATTATCGCCAAAAATGATGAATTTACTATGCATTACGTAATAGCGCGTTTAATGTGTGCAATACATTGCGCGAAGATAACAATGGTGTCAAACTGACCGCAATGAAATGCCCTTTCGAATGATACCAAGTATAGTATATGTTCACACAGAAAATTGTGAATAAATCGCATTTGAACAAAGGTCACTACACGAATTCCGCCGAGTTTCCGCCCGAATCTAACACGTATCGGCTATGACGTCATTTTTTCAGACTGCTTTTTGCCCCTTAAACGTCCTTTTTTTTCCTTGAAAATTTGCAGTGACATGCCGAGTTGCAATACCCAGGGCACCTCATGGCCGGATTTTTAAAATTGGTCAATGGGGCCATTTAAGACGCCATTTTGTCCTATAAATCTATTTTACATCACGTGTTTCGATAGGATTATCATAGAAAAAAAGAGAGTGGTTTACAATAACAATCATGAAATTCTCTTTCTAATAATACCAAATACGGCCCATAAAATGACATAAAGAGAGAGAGAAAAAACAATTTAACTCCGGTCATAATACAGATCCTGTACGTTTTCCGCTCATGCATTACACGCATTGTCTATGGGGCATATCGGGTTCACGCTTTTGACCCCCAGAACGATCTTGATTGCAATGACGAACATGCACCAAATCCCCTTGGTTTTTGCACGCAGTGCTTGCGAGCCCTTTCTACGTCCTTTCCCCTATCCCAATTTCTTTCAAACTTCGTAGGCATAGTCAATACCATCCCATCAAGGTCACTGTTGAGGCCTTTCTTTCGCCCTACCTATCTCCAATATCACAGAACAGACTTCGTACAAATTGCTCTGGATAGGGCTCTTTCGTTTCACACGTAGAAACATGGCGTCA